ACTCAGCCAATCCAAGGTTCGTTGCAAGATAATTTATTTGAAATGAAATATTCTGGACCTCCGGGGATGATCTTAAATTTCTCTATTTTATATAGGAGGAGTACAGCGTTGTGTAGAGGCTGGCCAGGAAAGGAACCAGCGAGACGACCCGACTTCTGGTGTGGTTTACGCGTGGTGAGAGATTTATCTATTATTATTTTTCCTTTGATTTACCGCGGAGCGCTTAGACAGCTATGACACCAAATTGAAAGATTCTGTGTGATGAGCTGATCTTTTATAGCTGGGGTCTGACTCGTTTGCTCCGTTCCAACATGTCCTAGGCTGTAGGCATTTACGTGTGTGTTGTGGTATGTTACTTATACATGTGCTTAACTGAGGTTGGCTGCTGTCACAGCCTCAGTTACGACTTGCATGAACGACTTGCCCAAAACCTAATATCGACTTATTACTTTGCAGCTAGCTTACTGCTATGTTTGAATAAGTGCCTACTCGATACGTACTCAGGTACCAAATCGCGTGATTTCTACCACCGTTAGGTACGTGGGTACTTGTTGCTTAACCTGTGTGTTCAATACTTTAAATAAGTTTCTATAGTTTTATACCAACAAGTGTACTTTTCTGTTCTTGTGTGGTTGTACGTGTGTGTTTATATATTTAGCATGTGTGTACGCTTATCCCTTGTTTCCTACCTAAGTTCATTCCTGTCTGTTTTGTATGATCATATATTGTACAGATTTTCTACCGAATTTTACATGTATTTCCTACTTGTGCCGGTGTTTATATATTTACTATCTTCTGTACATTTTAATGCTTGTAAACACGGTATCTACTGGTGTGCGTATTCCTATAGTTAAGTTGTTTTGTGTTGTGTTGCATGTTATCTTATTGTGTGCGTATTCTTCTAATCTTACCGTTTTGTTTATTGTTTGACGATTTTATATGACCTAACGGTACTACACAATGTTTCTGCAGTTTATACACGTGCTTATCCCTTGTTTTTCTACCTACGTTTATTTTCTGTATGTTTTGTATGCCCTAACAGTTTTGAAGATTTCATATGACCTAATTCTACTATACATTTTGTGCAATGTTTCTGCAGTTTATACACTTACCGGTGTTTGTACTTTTTAAAGCATAGAGATTTTTGCGGTGCTAAAGTCTATGCGTTTTACGTGCTTGTATATGCTTATCCCTTAATTTTTTCCTACCTACGTTCATTTCTGCATATTTTGTGTGCCCTAACGGTGCTATACGGCTTTTGTACATTGTTTAGAGATTTCATATGCCCTAACGGTACTATACATTCTGTGCAATGCTTCTGCAGCTTCTGTGCATGTTTTTTGCTCATGTGTGTGCACATGTGTCGTATTGATTTCATACCGATCTTATCCCGATTCTATTTTACTGATTTGTACAAGTCGCGTACAGGCTCTGAGCTAGTGTTTTCTTACAGACTTTGGTTCTAATGTTTTTATACATATTTTGTTCCAATGCTTTTATATATGTTTTGTTCTAATGCTATGGTACATCGTTTTGATCTGATGCTTTTATACAGGTTGTGTTCTAGTGCTTCTGTACATAGTTTTGATCTGATGCTTTTATACTGGTTGTGTTCTGATGCTTTTATACAGGTTGTGTTCTGATGCTTTTGTAGATAGTTTTGATCTGATGCTTTTATACATATTGTCTTATACTTATGCTGGAGGAGGTTGCTCAAGTTTATTTAACCCAATCGGACTGACGAGTTGTTCGCTGTGGGTAAATGTCTTAGGCAAACGGACTTGTATTCCGTAAGGAGGCAAAAACGCTTCCTTACACACTCTGTATCACTTGATCGCGGATCTTTTGTTCAAAAGAAATACACTTCAAAGTTCTTTTATTTACAATTATATTTTTTTATATGTAGGATTATTTACAGTTTACGATCCGCCTTAGTGGCCGAGTAGGCAAGAGTCTCGACTAGCAACTCAATGGTCGTGGGTTCAAATCTCAAGTGCGGTAGATTTTTTAATAAAGCTGAAAGCCGGAGATGCTAGTGCTTAGTCTTAGAATTTTATTCTCTGGCTAAGTTTATAATAATAATAATTACAATTTATTCTTGACAATACTTTCGACTGCTTAACTCAAATATCTTGCGTTTCACAAATATTCTATTTATATACATTTTTACGATTTTTAATTTATTAACTTGCTTTTCCGCTAATAATTTTCATCGGCCTGCAGCTGCATGACGCCTCGCGAATGTGCATTTTGCTTCTCTTTAAGGAATTTATTATTTGGGAAAATGACTTAGCTTGAAAGAACTAGATTTGGGATTCCCGTATCAATATATAATATATACAATTGTGTATGTTTATGTAGTACATGCATATATATATTGTACATATATTGTGAGGATCCAAAGTCGTCCCTCGTTTTGGCCTCACGGGATCTCCGTCTCTGGTGGGGTAGAGAGAGTGCTAGTTTATGTTAGAGAGTAAGTTAGAATAAGAATAGGGTTAGGAATAGAACAAGAATAGGATAGGAATAGAATAAGAATAGGGCGAGAAATAAAATAAAAATAGCTTAAGTCTAGGGTAGACTAGATTAAGTTAGAATAATTTAGAATTAGTCATCGTTTGAAAATCTTGCTTTGGAGTCATTGTTTGACAGTCGTTGTTGAAGAGTCATGAGTCGTAACTTAGGAGTCGTGCTTTAGCGTCGTAAGAGTAATAATAAGCGTGGAATATAAAAACCCAACAATAAAGGTCCCTGTAAAAAATTAATGTTCTTGTGTTTTCCTGGGCCGCTGAGCTGCCCCAGCTCCAGAAATGGACCGGAAACGCCCTCACAAGTGGCGCCTGAGCAGGGATCTTTATCTTAGAAAACGGGAGTGAAGTGGAGTGGAAAAAAAGAAACACAAAAGAACAGTCATTATGACCGTTAAACAAAAATTAAGTTTTCCATGCCAAAACATACAAAAAACAAAAAAGCAAAGCATTCAAAGGCTCATAAGAGCCTGTGCTAAATAAAGTACCAAAAGGTCATCGCCGAAAATCCGCTATACGGTGAAAAACCACAGAAAAGCGAATTGATCGTGGTCGCCAAAATGACTGAGAGTACCAGAAGAGAGCATCAGAAAAACGGTAGCAACGGTGCGGGTCGAAATCTTAACGCAAAAAAAGTGCAAGTGACACAAAACAAAAGAAGGCAAAAAGAAAAACAAAAAATATAATAAAAGTCGCAAAAATTACAAAAATTAACACATTGCAAAAGTTAAAATTAATGGAAAAACGAAGAAAAAAGTACAAAAGCGGCAAACAATTTTAACGAAGAAGTACCAAGTGGAAAAAACAAAATAAGGAAAGAATCCAGACAATTTGAATGAACTGTAAAGCAAGGAAAAACAAAAAAAATATAAAAAGAAAAGGAAAGATCAACCATTGCAAAAAGCAACCAACGCCACAGATATTGTAAAAAAAAATTAGAGAAAAGGATCAAATAAACATTTAAACCGATATGCCTACGAAAAGAAAAGTGAAAAACCAAGAGGCAAATATTGACGCTAATTTATGTAAAACAACGCTCATCACGGTGCTTCATTTTGCTTCTAAAGCTATCCTTGTTGTCAAATAAAATAATACGAACACAGAAAAATAAATCGGAACTAATTAAGTGACTTTTATTAATGTACCAAGCAGTTGATATAATTGAAATGTCTTACAGCAGCAATTCTGTTAACGTGAATTTAGGAAAATGATCCTCCAGCAGTAACAGCAGCCAAAGGAAACCTAATAAGTAACCATAAGTACAAATAAAGAAAAATCATACATAAAACGAACAATTTGTAAAAAAAAGGCAGAATATTGTGTAAATGTATCAAGTGGAAAGGGAAGGAAAAATCTAACTTGCTTTTCTCAATATCATCCGACGGTCCTTGCGAAATATCTAATAACAACGATAACAACAATAACTACAGCAGCACCAATAACGGAGAGAAAGCCAGCCTATACGGGAAGAATTTGAAACCAACATTTTAATTCTTAACAATAGATAAAACAGGGATTAATGTTTCCTTCTTTCAGGTGCCTGAACAATTAAAAAAAAAAGAAAGGGGAATGCGCTCAAGTTGACAGGAATATCATCATCAGTTCCATCATCCTTCTACTCATCAACATCAACAACAACAGCAAGAGCAAGTACAGTTGAAGGCAGGTTCGGTGCACTCCAAATTAACGAATTTGAAAATCACACAACTGCATTATACAAAATCTTACTACACTCTCGTCATTTTTCTATGCGTACCAATGCTTTTGTAATTTCTTCAGATTAACTTTGTCATAGCATTTGGAATATATTGCTTGTAACTATTTCTTGCAAGTTAGAGGCAACTATCCCTAAAGAAAAACACGCATATGCATGCACATATTACCAGCGTGGTGATCGATTTCAAATGAAAGAATCTCAAATAAAAAAATTTTAAAATTCTATAAAAGAAAACACAAGATACGAAATATATTTTCCAATGTTCAGTCAAAAAAACAACTCATATTTGACAAGTAAGGAATAAGCGAACCTAGACTAAGCTACTAACCCCCCTACAGCAATTTGTACGGGCCAAACAATATTACAAAAAAAAAAAAAAGACATGGAAGTCATAAACAAAATAATAACAAGCAATAAAAGAACAAGAGGAAAAGGTGCAATAGAAAAGAGGAAGAGGATATAACAGAAAGAAAATAAAATAAAACGAAAAAATAATAACAAGAAATCCTAACCCAAAAGAGGAAAAAAAAATAGTAAACGAAACCCACAAAAAAAAATAAAAATAATAAAATAGAAAAAAAAGGAAACAACACAATAAAGAACCATCCTCACAATGCCCATGGCAACTAATCGATTGTGTATTCCTTTATCACTAACCCTAGTTAAGCCTACGTATCACCAAACGCCCAAATCCGGAATGAACTCCGAGCCTGCTAGGCAAGTTTGACCTGGACATCACGGGCACTGTGCAGGAGATGAGGAGACGCTGGGCCCAATTCATCAACCAAAACAACGAACACGAGGTCGTCACCCGACTGCTCAAACTGCAGACGGAGCTGGAGGCCCTCACTAAGCAGCGATCGCTCTCTCCGGCATCTCATACGAGAAATGTAGCCGACGAGCTACCACCGACTGAGAAGGGATGCTTGCACCCGCCAATGAGCGCCGAAACCCTGCATGTACCAGTGACGGTAATGGGGCCGGACAGCAAAATGGCATTGGCATCTTACTCCCATACCTCGGGACCAGCCATCTATACCAGCGAAAGCTTTCAGTCCGCCACACCGACAGCGGCCGACACGAGACCTGGCATCGAAGTAGTCAGCAGGTATGGGCTCATTTTCACCGGCCGTAGAGAGCCGCTTGCCTTCATCGAGCGGGTCGCGGAGCTTGCAGAGGCATACGGCGTCGACAAAGACCAGCCACCATGGTGATGATTCTAGGTGAACGAGCCTTAACGTGGTACCGCAGCAACAACCAAAACTGGGCACTCTGGGAGAAGTTCCGAGCTGCCTTTATGAGATTCTTCCTGCCACGGTGACACTTCAATCGACTCGAAGACGACATTCGTCGACGCACCCAGCGACCCAGAGAGAAGTTGCAAGATTACGTGTTGGCCCTGCAGGAACTAATGCTCGATACCATAATGACGATGGAGCAACAACTGGAGCGCATTTAAAAGAACGGGCAACACGACTACATGTGGTACATACGGCGCCGAGATTTCAACAATTTGGCCGAACTAATGGAGCTCGTCAGCGATCTAGAAGCGATCCAGAAGGGCAACGCGTCACGTGAGGCACCCAGTGAAACACGCCGAGAATTCCAAGCAGGCGCTCGGCGGCATGACCCACTGAACAACAGAGCACGCACGCCGGATTCAGGGCCGTCAGAAAGGCGAATGAGTACGGCGATGCCGTCCCGACGGTATGGCCAGAGCGGCCACCTCCAATCTAATTGCCCGAACCCACAAGTCCTATACTGCTGGACATGCGGCCGACGAGGGGTACGGACTATCGACTGCTGTCGACAGGAAAATTACGGTGGAGCCCACCACCAGCGAGGGGCGATGGGCCCCGAAACGTACCAGCCTTGCAAACAGTAACGTCCGCCAATCTAGCAACTACCCCATGTTCCACCCACGCGTAATGCTGCCAGATAGGCACACTGCCAAGCTCTAGCCAACCAAGTCAACGAATCCACCCTACATCCATCCACTACAGCGAGACTTACAACATACAAACACAACTCCTTTTTTCCACGTCGAAAATTACCAGCGGAAATCCAATTCCCAGCAAAGAAACCCAAGAAACCCCACTACGCGATACGAATCAGGGGCCTCAAAAACATCAAAATCAATGCCTGCGGTGCAATAAAATTCACATGGATAGGAATAGAATCTCCGGGCCTACAATCAGACGCCCCCAGCGAAACCAATGGCACCAAGCCTCGACCTGAGATTCACATATGGCAAAGGCGGAGCCTCTAGCGGTCCTCGCGAACCGTCCCGCGCGTCCAACAGACAAACGAGCTACCGAGGTCCAAGAGTTAACGCCCTTAGCAAATCCTCATCCACCGCCAGAGTCAAGTCAACGTATTGCGTGCCCTATAGTGGCCTGTACCTATCGGCCAATGATCCGACATTCCGACATCGGAAAGCTGAAGGTGCACGAGAACTGATGGGATCTACGGTCAAAAAAAGGTGGAAACCACGGCTGCCAGCACGAAGGTACACTTCGAAGATCGGACGAGTCACTGCCTAGGTGGACAACGTCGCGACTACCAGTTTCATTGCCCCTGGCGCGTGAGATCTGGAAAACTTGCAGAAGTGAACCGTACCGAATGAATGTCCGCCTAGTTGACAGAACCGTGCAAGTGACCAGCAGGGCGCTTGGCGCCATTGGGGTCAAGTTGCAATGCGCGAACAGAACGGCCCGAAACAATACGGACCCCGTCGCGCAAAAGAATAGATGAGTTTCCCGAAAATCCGCGAAATATACTGGACAACAATGATCTAACCGAGGAGCCACAGCTTGGTGTCGAGGACGAGCAGCGATGCTTTGAGCGCTTCCTGCAGCAGAGTTGCCAAAGATTGCAACTTGCACAGCCATCGCCGAGCACAAGGTCGTCATGAAGGACGATCGCCCGTTCAAACTGCGACATGCCACTCGAAACCCGGCTATGCAAGTAGTAATCAACGCGCCGCGGTCAACAAGCTTATCGCAAACGGACAAATCGAGCCCGCCAAGACCCCTTACAATTCACCGATTACCCTAGCCCCGAAAAAAAACGTTATCTGGCGTATGTGCATGGATCTTTGCCACCTCAATAGCAAGTCGATAACTGATGCATACCCGTTACCAAAAGTTCAAGCCATTCTGGACAGACTGCGCAAAGCCCGATATACCAGTAGCCTAGACCTCAGAGACGGCTATTTGCAAATCCCACGCGAAGCCAGGAGCAGAGCTTTCACAGCATTCACGGCGCAAGGGCGTGGAACGTAATACCATTCAGCTTTCACTCAGCGCCTGCGACGTTTCTACGAGCCCTGGACAGCGTGATTGGCCCTGATATGGGGCCACACGCTTTTGCGTACCTAGATGATATCATCGTTATTGGAAAGACGCTGAAGGAGCATCTAGCTAACCTGTGATAGGTATTCCGTCGCCTACGAACCACAAACCTGCGAAAACCCGCGACATCATAAAGGTTCCCTGGCATGGTTTCATTGTACCGCTGATTTGTACCAGAATTCGCAGCCCTCTCAAAACCGCTCACCGAATTACAACAGAAAGAAAGACATTGGCACTGGACGGAGATACAGCAGACGGCATTCGAAGTTCTGAAAAGCAAGCTGACCCAGAGGCCCACTTTGGTCTGCCCCGACTTTACGAAGCCGTTCATCTTGAAGATGGGCAGCAGCGATACCGGACTGGGAGCTATTTTGACACGGCAGACCGACACCTGAATCGTGCCGAGAGAAACTGCACGGCCTCCGAGAAGGAATTCCTGGGTATACGGAAAATTAGGCCATATCTGGAGGAGTACCATTTCCATGACGTAACCGATCACCTATTCCTGAAGTGGCTGAACACCATCGACAACCCGACGGGCCGGTTAGCCAGGCAAACTGTAGAACTTCAGCAGTACGACTTCGAAGTCCACTATCGGCGCGGAACGAAAAGCGTCGTGGACGACGTGCTCTCTTGACACCCCCCGAGAAGCTCATCCGCGCGGTGACACACGCCTACCCAGCGGTAACCAGCCGGTGGCTAACCAACAGGCTGCAAGACGTCCAGATGGAACCGTGGAAGTTTCCCGGTTTGGTTATCAACGGCGGACGGTTATACCGCCACTTTCCACAGAGTAGTCTGGAAGAGGGAAAAGCAGCATGGAAATTATGCGTGTCAACACCCGTGAGATCCGAGATCTTGCAGGAGAACAATGACGAACCCACAGCAAGAACCTCGGCATACCTAAGGCGACACGACGAGTTTGCAGGAAATACTATTGGCCTGGAATGCACTGAGATATCTCCCGGTAAGTGCAAAAATTCCGGAACTGCCAACAATTCAAACCGGTCTAGCAGAAGCCGGCTGGAGAAATGTTAACGACCCTGCCGGAAGAGCCGTGGTCGGCAGTCTGCGCCGACTTCGTGGGACCTCTGTCACAGATAAAGGTGGGTCACACGATGCTCCTGGTGGTTGTGGACCAGTTCTCCAAATGCGAGGAATTAATCTCGCCCAAACAGGCCACCACAGCCGCAGTGATATATGCGTACCGAGAGCGCATTTTCAGCAAGTTCGGCACGCCACCAGAAATCGTCCCCGATAACGGGATGCAGTTTAAAAGTAAGCACTTCCAGAGCTATCTCCAACGAATCGGAGTCAAGCACCGGCTCCCCGCACCGTACACTCCACCGGAAAACCCTACCGAGAGAGTCAACCAAACCCTCAAAACGGCCACCGCGCAACACTGCGAACACGAAAACGCCGCATGACACTAATGTCTGCCGGAAATCACCCTGGCCATGAAAACAGCGATCTCAGACTCTACCAGCTGCTCCACTGGCACACGCCTTCTATGACCAAGGGTCACGGGCGTTCTAACTCAGCCTCAGTCACCGCGGCAAAGAGCCCAGAACCTGAAGGAAGTCATCCACACTGTGCGTCACAACCTCGAGCTTTCTTCATTCGACCAACGAGGGTACTTGAACCCCCATCGCCGTCCCTGCAACCTCAGGTTGGGTACCTAGTGCTGGTTTGTCATCACCCTCTTTCAAAAGCGGCCAATCAGTTTGCCGCTAAGTTGGCGCCGTGATTCCAAGGGCCGCTTACCGTGGTCCGATTCGAATCTCCAAACATCATCCAAATCGAGGACACCTCGACGCGGTTGCTGAAGCGCATCCATTTGCAAGACGCTAAACCCGTCGCAGAACCCGAGTCCACTCGTCCCGAGCGGAAGGGGCGGCCAGGCCGAATACTAAGACACCGCCTACCTACTTCAACAATCACAGCCACTACAACGAATTGAACAACATCCGCAACAAACGCTAACCTAGCAGAGTAACAATCGCATCAACGGCGGCACAAGCACCTCAACGACAGCTGTTACATACACAACATCAACAACAGACGCCAACCGATCAGCGCGTCGATTGTAACAATGGCGTCACAGCAGGAGCAGCAACATTTACACCAACAACACCAACCACGACAACTATCATAACCACAACATCATTAGCGTTAACCTCAACCACTACCACAACACTACGTCCATAATTACCAAGATAAAGCAAATCGCATCTGCACTGACGAGACCCCAGTACCAATATCGAGACAACACCCACCTACAAGTAATCGCAGCAACTACAACGAGCTAAACAACAACTACAAACGAAACATCAACGGCACAGGTGGCTCTCGCCGTTAGCACAAAATGGTTATCGAGCCCACTGCCGCAACAGACTCAACCTAAAAATTCAACGCAACAATGAAAGTCACCCATAGCCAAAGGTCTGTCAACCCATTGCGAGGCCATAGTGGTCAACGTTGACACAATCCGTACCACCCTGGCCAATGGTCTGGCGACCCAATGCTGGAAAGCCAAACGTACACGAGAGCTGACGGGGGCTGCTCTGCTCAGGTAACAGGCTCTGCGTCATCACCAACAATAGCTAACTGGCCAACACCAGAGAGGGGTATCGCCAGTTACTTCTTCTCCCCGAAGAACGGAGGATCTGTGAGGAGCCAAAGTCGTCCCTTGTTTTGGACTCACGAGTTCTCCGTCTCTGGTGAGGGAGAGAGGGTGGTAGTTTAAGTTAAAGAGAAAGTTAGAATAAGAATAGTGATAGGAATATAATAAGAATAGGATAGGAATAGAACAAGAATATGGTGAGAAATAAAATAAAAGTAGGTTTAGTCTAGGGTAGAGTAGAGTAAGTTAGAATAATTTAGAATTAGTCATCGTTTGAAAGTCTTTCTTTGGAGTCATTGTTTGATAGTCAGTGTTGAAGAGTCATGAGTCGTAACTTAGGAGTCGTGCTTTAGCGTCGTAAGAGTAATAATAAGCGTGGGATATAAAAACCGAACAATAAAGGTCCCTGTAAAAAATAAATGTTCTTGTGTTTTCCTGAGCCGCTGCGCTGCCCCAGCCCGAAAAAAAGGGCCGGAAAGCCCCTCACAATATATGATTTGTCGAGAAAAGTAGAAATGAAAATAACTAGTTCTTAATCGAAAATCTTGCATATTTTCCTATTCACATACACTTAAAATTTCGTAGATAAGAAAGCTGTACATACATATATGTTAATAAGTATATGTGTGTCAAATACTTGGTAATGAAAGCTTCGGTTTTTATATTTTAGCATTAACTAGAATGCTGTCTACATTTCCTTTTCGTCTGTAGGAGTTACACTGGGATCGTCAGGATCTCTTCTGTTATTTTTGGTTTGTTCTTCCGCATTTTCAAGCCAGGTTTGTTTTAGCGCGATCTTGTTATTGTGCGATAGCGTTAGACTCTCGAATCGGCAGATTGTACTTGCGATTTTCCTGCTAATATATGACTAGGTACCCCATAACATTTTTACTTTTTCGGCGTATGTTGTAATGATATTCCTTATTTTGTTGATAACTTCCATCTCGAAGTCAAAGGATTCTGTATACCTCTTAATACAGACAAACTGTCAGTAACAATGACGGTTTTGAGTTTGCCTTTATGGGAAAGCTTGGCAGCGTGCAGGATAGCTCTGGCTTGGGTTGTGAAAGTTGAAATACTTTCGTGAAATATGCGATTGAGAAGAACCTGTCCTGAAGCATCTACGACGGCACAAATAGGTGGCAGTCTGGAAGATTTCGACCCGTCTGTGTATAAAAGATTCCAACCAGTACTCTGCAATACTTGGGTTTTTTCAGCTGTTAGATCCCTGAAGACGTAATTTGGAGTATCTTCTTCTTTGTGCATTAACAGCGAAATGTCAAAAGAGGCGTCTTTCAAAATCCAGGGAGGTTTAACACCAAAATAGCGGGAATAATAATCTTTCTCACGTCTTCACCGAGAATAGATTTGTTTGATATAAGAAGCTCGGGGACTATTTTAGCTTTTAATTCATAAAGTCTATTTTCTAAAGCTAGGAGACCAGTTTCAATTATAAAACTATTTATGGGCGTCGTCCGAAAAGCATAAGAATTTGCTCTGAGGCCTTGCTGATAGATCGGTGTGAGATTGTTGATATTAGATTTGCAGCTATGGTCATAAATTATCAAAGCATAGTCAATCTTGCTTAAAACAAGAATTCTGGTAAGATAAGCAATAGTGTTAATGTGCGCATAGCCTTTCGAAGCAACGTACTGTATGAAATTCACCCTTGTTCAAATAGAATTTTTTAACCGAAGACAGTCTGCTTTCCAACAATATTTGTTGGAAAACGTGAGCCCGCAAGTATGGAGCGTCTGCACGATTAGTACTGGTTAGTCAATTATATTGTAGTGTGATCGCATATCATTATTTGTATCCACTTTGACGTGTGACAGCATTATGCAAATTCAGCATATTTCTTTTGCTAAAAGAAAAATAAAAATTATCTAATACTTTACCTTCATTTCAAAATGCAATACGAAGCCAGGCGCCATTCGGGCGAAAACTGGTAGCTTGTTCGTATATACGGTTCCAAATACGGATATTTCTATTTATAAGAAACATATTGCCCTCAGTTGCAATGTGGCCGGAAAGTCTAAACTTGCTGATGTAGTTATAGCATTGGAGGGCTTCGATTTGCCATATCTGATAAAACTATTATATGTTTTATCGAATTATATGACCGTAATTTACTTCTTTTTTTTTTCTTTTTTTTTTGGTATGTTGAACAGAGATGGACTAAGCCAATAGATTTGTGGCTTATATGTCCAAATAATAAATTGTTGTAATTTTTAGTCACGATTATGTATAAAAGGTAACAAAAAAAAAAAGAGAGCGGCCGTAATAACTGGAGTGAGCATGTTAAATGTAATTGTGTGTGTGTGTGTGTGTAAGTGTGCTTGTTGAGTTCTTGAAAGTCAGACAGTGTTGCAAACTTTGGCTGAAAACGAAAAGGAATGTTATCGTAATTGAAAATGATTGAACGCAAAAAAAGGAAAGAGGAGGATAAAGAAAAATTCTAAAAGGATAAATTGGCTTTTCTAATAAAGCAAGTTAGTTCTCCGAGATGACATACATTTTTTGCTGCAAAGAGATCGAGGAGACAGCCATATAACTTGAAGAAGCTAAAGGAATCTCTAATGCCATCAAGCCTGTGACATCTGAAGATTAGATGCTCAGCAGACTCAACAACATTGCAAACTTCACAAACATCACATGGTATAGCGCGAATCATTTTTAAATAAACTTTGTCATAAGTGTGACCACTAATGAGTCTATAAAGAATTTTGATTTCCCAGGAATTAAAAGAAGATACAGAGAAGGGTTTGAATTGAAATGTGGGATTTAATTTATAGAACAGACGATTGGATTTAACGCGCGCGATCTCTTTAAATTCGTCGTTTAGCTGTTGAAGGATGTGGTTGCGAATTGCCCGAATTGCTTCATTGGGAGTATATTTGATGGACAAAATTGTCCCATCAACACGAGCTCTCCCTGCATGAAAGTCGGCTTTTACATTTAAAAAAAAGCCGCAGTGGCCAGGTACCCAAACGAGGTGACAGTCATCCATTTGAGATTCGTGCAACGTCTTGTGAATGTCAAACACATATTGATTTTCTGCATCTCTTTTATTTATTAGAAGTAGAGCAGACCTGCTGTCGGAAAAAATAACAAAACGTCTGATACCATCGGAAATAGCAACCATGATAGCATGTCGAATGACGAGCAACTCAATAAAGGTAGAGAAAAATTCCTCTTCCACTTTGACTCGAAGTATTGTTTCAGATAGATGTTTCACGACCGAGAAGCCAGATACATTATGTCCGACGGAACCGTCAGTGGCATATATATCATATCCGTTGTTGTAATAAAAAAGGAGCTTTTCTTGGCATAACAACCTTATACAAGAGAAGTTGACATTTTGTTTTGAGGTAGAGATTGGTTCGAGAATGTTCATGAAGACTTTGCATTTGCTGGTAATGAAATTCAAGGGGGGAATTGAATCTAACTTATCAAAAATATGACGAAGTTTTTGATAGCAAAAAGTATAGCTGCAAGTGACAGTGTCACTGAGAGATATAATTTCCTGAAAAAAGTAAGGATTTATCATCTTGACTTTAATTAACTCCTTGGCCGTGCAAAAAAGGGCTCTTTCGGAAACCGGCCATTCACCAGATATGACATTGAGAATATGTTGAGGAGTTGAGGGGGTCAATCCAGTACAACGCTTCAACATTCGGTTTTCAAATGCTTGTATACGTTTTTCAATATATTTTGGGAAATTGCAACATGTGGAATGTCCAAATTCAATTTTGGACCTGACTAGAGATTTGTAAACGGTCAAAGCATTTTTGGGAGGCAAGCCTGCCTGATTGTTTGTCATGAGTTTGATGATGTTGCATCCAGACTGACAATCTTTGAATGCCTTTTCATAGTGCCGACGAAAGGTTAAGCTGTCATTTAAAATTCTCCCAAGAAATCGAGTAGATTTTACCTGATTAACTTGGGTACCTTTGATGAGAAGTCTAATTTCACGTTTAGAACCTTTGGCAAAATAAATGGTGTTTGTCTTGTTGGGGTTAAAATATAAATTAAGATCAGTGCATGCATCGAAAAACAAGTTCGCTTTTATCGAGAGGTTATTGACAGCTGCTGGAAAAGATGAGTCCGCAGATACGATTAGAAAATCGTCTGCGTATTGAAAAATGTGAGTTTTGTCATCTTGAAGATCATGTAAAGAAGCTGCGTACAAATTGAAGAGTATGGGGCTTAAACAACTGCTTTGTGGGATACCACCACATATTTCAACTTTTTCGGTACCCATCACCAAAACACGCTTGGATAAAAAATTCAGTATCCACAGCCTCATTTGAAGAGGAATCGAAAAGTTTAGGAGAATTCTGCCAAGCTTAATCAAGTTGACACAGTCATAGGCTTTGCTGATGTCAAGGGAGAGCATGACAACCGTTTTCCCTGCTTTTTTTAAGCTGGCTATGAGAAAACACAGTTCATTAACGCACATATTCGTAGATTTGCGTTTTTGATAGGAGTAAGACCGAGTTGGAATAATGTTCTTAGTTTTCAGGAAAGCTGTTAGTCTCTCCTTAACCATGAGGTTGATGGTCTTTATGAATACAGATATTAG